AAATTGAAAAAAAGTATCCACAAATTATTTACTTTTTAGATTGCGGAAAAAGCGCGGCATTTGATTCTGAAATACAGTCAAGAGTTTGTGAAGGATACAGCCAGGGTATGCGATTGTTCTCTTGTTTTTTTCAAAGTCTGTGATAGACTCGAAAATGAAAAAAAAACTTATTTATAGTATCGCCTCGTTTTTCCTAGTCGCCCTGCGCTTGGAGTGAGTGATTATACCCCAAAGCACTGTCCAAAACAAATGTGTTTGTGTCAGTATATCGATAAGGTGTGTTTACTTTTCTCATGAAATTTCGCTTTTTTATATTGAATTTCGTATTCTAGTGCTTCAGTACTATGTGTGGTACCATGTACCAGCGTTTTCGTATCACCATACTTTCTGTAACTTTCATCCATTTCTTTGAATGAAGCTATACGCTGCTTATTTTCAGTACCACTTCAATCGTCCGCCCAAAAAATGGTATTCATACTTTGTCTGAACCTCGGTTATTGCTCATTTCTGTGCGAATGTTTACCTTTATTTCTATGACAGTCATTTTGCTCACGTTGTAAAGTAAGTTTCGTAGAAATGCAATGTTTAGTTTCCCTTTTCATTTACCAAAAGTGCCTTTTTGTTTGTCTATACCCCTTTTACCCCTTAGCAGTTACTGGTTACTGGTCTACCAGATGTGCATAATCCCATGTCAAAAGTGATTAACTAGTTCACTTCTTTTGAAGTCCATTCTACTCTCGCAGCTGTGAGCTATTGGTTGTGATAATAATGTTGTGCCCTTATGCATTCGGTTGTTGTCAAAAAGTGTATAAATACTATTTGATCAGTATCGACGTTTGTAGAGCCTTCTTACCAAGAGTTTTGCCTCGAAAGTACCATCATCAAATTGCGAACGACGCCTGGCTTCACTATGGTCTCAAAATTGGCCTAAAAAGAATGTGGAACATGAGATGGGTGCCAGATGCGCGATTGCAGTCGCGAATGGGGCGATGCGCCGTAGTGCAACCGTATGGATCAGTGACACCCTATTCTTGATTCTGGCATCGAGCCCCGCCACACTTGGGAGTGCGATCGCGATTCAATCGCGAAGTCCAACACTTATCTGAGCACAAGGGTGGGGCGTTTGTGCAGTGAAGCTTCGGAGGATCTTCGAGAAACGACCAGTTAAATTTATTGCTGTAGAGAAGATTTGCCTAATCTGCGTTAATCTGCTTATACCGTTATTCGAGGTGCAGTTGCAACTGTTGATTGCCTGTCATCACCTTCAATTCGGGATGATCACTCCAGTTGAGTTAGCATTGCAATTCTTCAGAGGCATGCTAGAATGTTTTGCACAGTCTCGTGACTTGGAGAGCATGAGTAGCACCCTTATGCAAAACTGTGTTCATTGACCACGGCAATTTGTCTACCGGGGTCCATCGCACATGGGTTGGAAACGACGTTGGGATTCGCGGGCATCCGCAACGTTTGCAAAGAATCAACCTGTATTATCTGTCGTCCCGTTGATCATCGATTTGCTCGAGCGGGCGCCAGCAACGTCTCCATTCGTCCCTGTCGCGTGCAAGAGTGTCCAGTGGATCCTTGCTCGAGGGACACGAAGCCTTTCATTCCTTTCGTTCAGGATTACGTGACTACTTGAACTCGCCCCTGTGTTCTCTGCCGCGAAAGGCCAGAGCACAGACGATCAGAGAACGGCGCCTGGCTCGGCTCCAAATCCCAAGCAGGAAGGTGAGAGCCCTAGGACTAAGCCTTGGAGGGAGGAGGGACTCCGGAGTGGGTGAGCCAATCACATTGTGGCAAAGTTTGAATGTGTCAGATCACAGTAATCATAAGCCGCTGTTTAGGCGAGAGAGCGCAGGCGAAGAGCATCAATTCGAAGCGGTTTAAAGGACCGAGTTCAAGTTGTCCGTAGACCTTCGTTCAGAGCTGTAAAGAAGTCTGTCGGGCCGGCGGTCGTCCAGGTGTTCGTTTGACGTCCCGAGGGATCCAGTCGGTAACCGCTCTGGTCCAACGGTCATCGCAAAATCGCATGACGTGTCCGGCCCACCTTATCTTCGATTCCTTGGCGAAAACGGCAGCGTCCCTGATCTTCGATCGTTGGCGTAGTTCGGAACTCCGGATTCCCCTCTGCACTTGCGTGTATAGGGTTACTCCTAGCATCGTCCTCTCGACAGCGCGTTGGATAACGCTGACCGCATGCTCGTCCTGCCTGCGCAGAGTCCAAGTCTCTGAGGCGTAGGGTACCCCCAGGAGGCCCGTCGCGCGGCAAGAAGGCACGAGTCGCGCGCGTACTATAGGGATTTCGCGTCAAGTTAAATAGAGTGTCCCATTGCACGTCCTACATCGCACACCACGCGCTGCAACTCGTCCGCCGACTCTGCCTTCTTGCCGCGCGACGGGCCTCCTGGGGGGTACCCATGGGGCGTAAGTTAGGGCAGGAAGAACTTCAGGAATCGAAGAGGTGGGCACGGAGCCGGATTCTTCGTCTTCTTCACTACTCCCTCGATGTTCTTGTACGCTCCCCAAGCCGCTCGTTTCCTCCTGCTCAGCTCTGGAGCTAGATCGTTCATCATATTGATTTCCCGACCTAGGTACACGTAGCTGGAGCATTCGGTGATGTTCGTTCCGTTGAGCGTGAATGGGGCATCAGGAACCAATCCGTTTCTCATAAACATCGTCTTCGTTAGGTTCAGCTGCAGACCGACCTTACCACAGGCGCAGTCGAAATCATCGGCAAACCGAAGGTGGTGTAGTTGCCGGCCGTCGACCTTCACTCCCATGTCTTCCCATTCCAGTTGACGCATGACGTTCTCGAGAGCGGCGCTGAAGAGTTTGGGCGAGATGGTGTCGCCCTGTCGACCCCTCTCTTGACGTCGATGATGACCTCCTTGTAGAATGGTGAGATTCTGGTCGTAAAGTTGCTGTAGAGCTCACGAAGAATCTTGATGTACTGAGTAGGGACGCCCTGGTTGCCCAAGGCTTCGATGACCGCTTCTGTCTCCACAGAGTCGAAGGCCTTCTTCAAGTCGATGAACGTGAGACAAAGCGGCATCTTGTACTCTCGTGAAACTTCAATGAGTCTTGTAACCGTGTGGATATGGTCGATCGTGCTGAACCCTCTTCGAAACCCTGCTTGCTCGCATGGCTGTCCTTCATCTAGTATTCTGCCGATCCTGTTAAGGATGACTCGAGTGAATAGCTTGTAGATTACAGACAGCAGGCAGATTGGGCGATAGTTGCCAATGTCGTCCAATCTCCCTTCTTGTACAGCAACACGGTCCTGCTGGTTTTCCACGGAGTGGGTACCTTGCATTCCGACAGGTAGCGCGTGAAGAGTCGAGCCAGAGTTTTGATGATAACTGGCGGTGCATTCTTCAGATGTTCCGGTTTAACCCTGTCGAGACCGGGTGCTGTACGATTCTTCACCGACTTGATGGCGTGTCGGACTTCGGAAGAGAGAACTGAGGGGACGTATCCATCCTGTTGCAGTTGATAAGTGGGCAGATGGACATGGCTATCGAAGAGATCCGAGTAGAAGTCGTGGATGACTTTCTCCATTGCCCTTCGGGATGCAGTAACTGTTCCATCCGGACGTCGGAGGCAGGTCATCTTGGTCTTGTAGCTGGCAAAGCTTCGGCGGGCATTGCGGATGCTCCTCCCAGCCTCTGCTGCTTCAGCTAATACTGCTGCTCTTCGCTCCTTGAGATCTTCCTTTATCGCCTCTCTGCATAGCTTCGCAAGCTCGGACGTGAGTCGGTGATTGCCTGCAGCTCGTGCGGCTCCACGCTGGCGTATCAGTTCGAGAGTTTCCGGAGACAGACGTCCCTTGGTGACTTTCAAACTCTCTGCCTTCTTGCCACAATCGTGAAGATGTTCAACGAGCCGATAGTACTCCTCGTCGATGTTTTCGATGACGGAATCCTCCCATAAGCTGACGAGGGAAGCGAAGTGGTCCCAGTTGATGACTGTCCTGGGGCTTCGCTTCCTGAACTTTGCTGCTCTCTCAACACGCATCGAGAAGTGGAATCTTGCGCGGAGGAGACGATGGTCCGATCCCGTGTAGAACTTTGGAACAACAGCGACGTCGGTCAGGCAAAACCTTCGATTGAAGATGATGTGGTCTATCTCGTTATGGAACTGTCCATCAGGTGACTCCCAAGCAGGGTCGGTCCTATCGTTGGTACTTTTTGCAAAATTTTTACGACCCTCCTTCACGAGAAGTTTCATACGACCCCCTCTTCACAGCCACTTTTTCCCTCAAAAAACACCGTCGAGCGGGGGGTATATACGCACGCTGAAACGGCAAATTTTCTCCCGCGCGCTCTCACCTCATCACATGTAATTTCGTGCTACCGAAACAAGTACGACCCCCCCCCACCACAAACTTCAACAAACTACGACCCCCCGTTGGTACTTGTAGCAACGTAGGGTTGACCCTGCTCCCAAGTCACGAACGTGAGAGGGCTTTGGAACTGTGAGTTACCATGGATGGTGTTGGTCGACATGATAAACTCCGACAGTCTCTCACCCTGCTCATTCCATTCCATTCCGTGAGTACCGATGTGAAGTTCTTCAGCCGTTCTTCTTGGGCCAATCTTGTCGTTGAATTCGCCGAC